TATAACCGGTGAATTCTCCAAAAAAAAAAAAAAGTAATTTAATGGCAAAATAAAACAAGTATTTATTAAATCTAAACTTATTCTGTTTAAAAGAATCTTCTTTCCATCGGGTATTGCTTATGCGTGCATATGTGTTGTAGTGTTTATGTGAATTTGTTCGAGTTGAATTACCTTAGTTATTGTGTGTTGTTGATTTATGAGGAATTCTTTTGCAGTCAATAATCCCAATTTCAATATCTAGAGTTAACCAATTCGATGCTGGAAGGCTGGACATTGAAATGTCAGCCATGTTGAAGGAACAGTTGGTTAAGGTCTTCTCCTTAATGAAGGTATCTCTCCTGGTCTCGGCTTATAGTGCTAGTCCTCGAAGCGAGTAACCATGTATAGCTGTTACAGAATCCCTAAACTGTTATTATTTTCATTGAAATTAGCCAGGAATGCTATTTCAATATGAAGCAGAACTTGATGCCTTCCTCGAATTTCTTATCTGGCGGTTCTCAATTTGGGTGGATAAACCTACTCCAGGAATCGCTCTCATGAATCTGAGGTATAGAGACGAGCGTGCTGTGGAATCAAGAGGAAAAGGTAAGAAGTTCTGGAAATTTGTTGCATAGGTTGGCTCTAGGTTCTAGATAAAGTTGTGACCAGTGAGGTTAAGGAGGAACCAAAGAAGATGAGCTTTCTAAATATTGTCGTCTTGGCACTGATTTATATGAGTCATTGTGGCTTAATGTTCTTCTTTTGGCATTGGAATAAATGGAGTTATATTCTCCAGGCGGTTCTGCTTTGTTTGGTGTGCATGCACTTTGTCCCAAGATTGATCATAAGTTGCTGTTTTAGGTGATATACAATAACCAAAAGTGTTGATATTGTTTTATTTCTAGAAAAGTTTATTTTTCTTCCCTATATTTGTTGTTAACAAATATGATTATACTCTCACAACAGAATAACGAACGTACACCAACTTTATATGACACAGCTGAACGAACATTCTAGACTTTGTTCAAGTAGAAGTTTTCAATTCCAGATAATTGTCTGATGTAGTAACCAGGCTGTTCCTAAATTTGCCAATCATAAATTGAACTGTGAACAGTTATATTTTGTCTGATATATGCAATTTTCATTTTTTTTCATTCAACTTGTTTAATGTACATCATAATTACATGTAGTATTCCTATTTGTTGTGCTTATGGTTTTTTCTTCAACTTATTTACAGTCAGAACGGGTTTGGAAGGACCTGGACTTACAGTTGCACAGAAGCTTTGGTATTGTGTTGCTACTGTTGGTGGTCAATACATATGGGCACGTGTGCAATCATTTTCTGCTTTCCGTAGGTGGGGCGATTCTGAACAGGTATTTTTTTCTTTTCAATCTTTTTGTTCCCCTTCATTACAACATTTGGAGAATTATTGAAGCAGGCAAATGAAGTGCTCTGCATTTTATTCAGAGGTCAGTGGCACGAGGAGCATGGATTCTGATACAACGTATAGAAGGACTTTACAAAGCTGCCTCATTTGGCAACCTGCTTTTATTTCTTTACACAGGAAGGTATGCAATTTGATACTCGAAAAATGGTGTCATTTAATCAATGTACTCGTGTGCATGCGACTTTAAGCAAATTTTTTCAGAAACTGAGGCTGCATTTTCTAGAGAGGATTAGATTGGATAGGATAACTCACTAGGTTCTAGGCATATGGAAGAGATGGAGGAACCTTCCAACTGAAGGCTGAATTTGCTTCATGAGTAATCCACCTTCTACTGTCAAACATTCAAACTTGGACAAAAATTTGCAAATTGTCATTCATTTCTTCCTTCAGTATGCCTTGAATCTAGCGAGTTATCCTATCAAGCCAATCCCAATAACACAGCTTAGAGTGCATAAGTGCACTACACACGTAGAGTTGGTAGTTTCTGTTCCTGGACATGTTAAAACATATAACTGAACTTGCAGCATCGTATGTAATATTTTTTAATGGAAATTAAATTTTTTTTTATATTGCATGAACCTTTTGATATTCATCTTTGTTCATTTACTTCCATTTTGTATAGGTCAACATGTTGAAGCTGCATGTGTAATATAATAATGTGAGAATTTTTTCATGTGATGTTCTTAATGTGATATAGGAATAGCATTTCCCTTGGCAAGCTTGCAGAACTTTACATATTACATGTTGATGATGCAGGTATAGGAATCTAATTGAAAGAGTTTTAAGAGCTAGGCTGGTCTATGGAAGCCCTAATATGAACAGAGCAGTTAGCTTTGAGTACATGAACCGCCAGTTAGTATGGAATGAATTCTCGGTATGCCCTTTTATTTTATTTATCATTTTAATTATTGCATGAGGTGAGTTTACATTCGTAGTTTGAGGAATTGTCACTCTGACACACACCAAGTAATTCTATCTATGATTTGGTAGTAGGGGATTGACTCAAAACAGCTGAGAGCGTAGTTGATACTGGAAAAATTCTAGGTTGTTTGAAAGCTCATCTCAATGCTTATTTTGTTGGTTTGGGTTCATTTCACTGTCTCATGTGTTATCTTTACATCTATCACAAGTGAATAGTCGTCAAGGGTTTTTAAGGATGAAGTTTATGTGCAGTTCTTTTTCCTTTTGTCGGAGTTGAATCTTTCATTAAAGGGATTTGTTCTCGATATTTATGATTTTGCGGTTTTCTGTACTGATGAACAGTTAAATGTGATATGGCAGATATATGAGAACAATTCTGTTATTTGAAATTATGTTTTCCACATTTCACCAATTAGAATCAGCATAGTATCTGCCTCCCTCTCATTTAATGCATTCATTGGGGGAGACTCAGGGCTCAGAATTGATGGAATTTGTATTTAGTTAGGGTTGTTGATACTTTCATTTTTTGATATGACAAGTAGTATTGAAAACCAAATTATAAAGGATCTTCTCCCAAATGTTTCCTTAACGATAGCAGTAGAACAAAAGACACCGTCGGACTCAAAGAATGAACCTTCCTTCCAAGATTTATGACGTCCGACCCAACTTCAGGCTCTTTCTTCCTGACCTATTTAACTCTCTGTCCACAGTTATTTAGGTGGTATCCCAAAAATTCAAGGACAACCGCTGCCCTGAATCACAAATAAAAAACCCAGAAATAGATTGATGACTTGTAATAGAACTTATGCTTGATAGAAATATTAGTATCATATATAGTCGACGAATGAGGGTGTGTTCATTAGAAATTAAAAAATTCAGACGAAAAAATGGCAAAAAAGAAAGTATTCGTAAAGAAGCTTTTTTGTTAATAAGTAAAAAGCTTGCTCCCCTTTAGTTCCATGTTAATGTGATTAAGTGGTTTCTAGAGATCGTATGTGTCAGTTTTATCTCTGCCACTGCTCAAACTGCACGAGGTTCCGCCCCTTTTTTTTCTGCCTAGGTTGCATGCGTCTTGGCATGTGATTGCATTGGTTTGAAAACAGACACCTACATTTAGGTACGATGATTTTATGTTTACAATATCTAGTCCATTCTGACAAAGCACAACCATTTTCAGAGTTCTTTCTGCAAAGAAAGCTCCAAGTTATGTGCTCAATTCTTTCTCCTTCTTGCATGATTTTAAATACACAAACCAATGACCAAGGTTAACCACATGGATATGTGCAGTCATTCTCCATCTTACAGAGCAAAAACATTTTCAGAGTTTTGGATTTGCGAGGGAAAGTTCTAGATTTTGTACCAATCCTGAATTCGTATCCATGACTCATACATCCATGGCATTCTTTTAGTTACTGAAACTAGAAAAGAAAAAAACAATATTAATTACTTGATTGGCCTGTTGCAAAGGTATACACTTTGTGCACGCCCGCTTTTCTCTTTAGATTTTTGTTCTGCATAATAGTTTTTACATCTTTGCCTCATGATTTGTTGTTCTGGTGTCCGCTTTTGGTTTACTTTATGGGAATTTCACATAACATTGGATGGAACTTAAAGAGTCCTTGTGCTGATGGCAGGAGATGTTATTGCTACTACTTCCTCTTCTAAACTCATCCTCTATGAAAAAACTTCTTAGTCCATTTTCGAAAGATAAATCATCGAGTTCAAAGGAGGATGACCTTACTTGCCCCATTTGCCAGTCCAGTCCAACCGTTCCCTTTCTCGCTCTTCCGTGCGAGCACAGGTACATCACTAAATCTGATCCATCTGTTGAGTGTTTTTTATCGAAAGAAAGCTAGTTTTGACGGAGGACCAAAATTGCATAAAAATAAGATACGGCGTACATCATGCAGAAATTAAGCGAAAATGTTTGTTGGATGAAATGATGATTTACAGTAGGATTTGATATTTATAGTGCAATGTAATAATTGTTCATGGTGGGCAGATACTGTTATTACTGCCTTAGGACGCGGTGTGCTGCAGTCCCAGCTTTCCGATGTTCCAGATGCAACGAGGCCGTGGTTGCAATGCAGCGGCATGTTGGCCAGCCAAAGCAATGATTGATTACAGTGGAGAAGCAAAGTAGTTTATAGTATAAGCACAAGTGTTTAAACTAATGCTTGAAAGTAGTAGCATTACTTTATTTTCCTCCTCCTAAGAAAAACCTTTTAATTGAGGGGAAAATAACATATGAAATTTAGAAATCATGTTCCTTTTAGAATCATTCATTCATCTATTGATTAGAGAGAGCTTCATTCATTCGCCTTTTTGATCCCTCTATGCCCTTGTCTGTTATACCTTTTGTGTAAATTTGATCTGCTTTGGAACTAACTCAATTAAGAAAATTTGTTAAAAGATTGAATCAACCAGCATATTGTTTTTATGTTCCTCGTTAATTATTTTGTGCGTCATCTCATCAATTATATAATACATACAAAGCAAGTTAGGTAATACCGTTGATTTCAGACCGATTTGGCTCGCATATTATTTTGAGAGCTTATCTAAAGTAAACGGGAACCTTATGCACTGGGTACGACTTTTATCTGAAGTACTATAAACAGTAATGGAAATACAATTTACCAAAGAAAAAGACAATTGAAATTAGAATAGCCCAAATTGTTTCATTCGAATGTGGATAAATAAACATTTTGGAGGGTGTAAATAAAAACTCCCTCCTTAATATTTCCTTCGCTAGTTTTATACACTTGAATTCTCCAAACTACCCTTCAAAAGGCTCCCGAATTTCAAATCAACCTCATCAGCCAACCCAACCTCCCCAAGTCTCCTCAATCCCTTACTCAAAACCCTAACCATATACTCATCCGCTTCAAACCCAGTGGACCCCCACCCATTCCTCTTCAGCATCTTGTAAATCCTGACCGTTGATTCCCTCCTATCCGCCCCAATAACGGCCCTGATCAACCTTATCAGCCCCTTATCGCTGCCCCACTGGACCCCACTCTCTGTCTCCAGATCACAAATCAAACGGTCCATGTCCTCCCCCATCTCATTTCTCGCCAGCGCCAGCGCCATCTCAGCGTAAACGGATAAGTCGGGCGGGTATTCCGATCGGACGGCGGAGAAGACTTGGAGGGCCAGGTGGCACTGGTCCTGACGTAGAAGCTCCCTAAGAGCGGCGACGAGGTCGGCTTTGATCAGGCGGGAGAGGGTTTTGGAGACAAGGGCGGGGAATTGGGCCGGGTCGGATCTTTGCGCCCGTTTGAGGGTTTGAACGGCTTGGATGGCCTCGATGCTGAGGACCCGACCTTTGACCAAAGGTCCACGGTTGTCGCGTGGACCGCACCGTATGGAAACGCGGGTTGTGGAGCGGGTAGGTGTCTGTGCGACTGGTTTGGGTGAGAGGAAGTGGGTTGCGTTCGTGTGCAGTGAGGAAGCCATGGATGCGAGTGGAGAAGAGCAAGAAGGTGGAGGTGGTAAAAGGTGCATTGGATTTTGATCTGTAATGACGAATTTGCCCTTTTAAAAGAAAATAAAATATGATTTTTTGGTGGAGAAACAAAAAACAAAAAGAAAATATATGAAAAACGAACTTAACCACGGGTTTTAGTATTTTTTTTTTTTTATGTATAATGACGATTCCGCCCCGGAAATTTAATTAGTTCGGAAAAACGGAAAATAGATAAAAACCGTCGACAGCAGGATTCGAACCTGCGCAGGCAAAGCCCAACAGATTTCGAGTCTGTCTCCTTAACCACTCGGACATATCGACGCTCTCGATCACAACATTCCACTAAGCCATTTTATAAATATAATATTAAACGGGCCCTTGATGGGCCAAGATATTCTAAGCTGAAATGCTGTCTTCCGGGTTCTGGCAGGCTTAAGAATTAGGTGACCCTCTGCATGTTCTATTTCCCACAGTCCCGTTCTCCTACGCATTGGAGTTAAAAAATTGAGGTTACCTATACCATTCGTCTTAATGGAGTTTAACCTTCCATTATTCCGGCTTATGCTGCAATCTATTTCTCCATGGCGACATCAATCAGGACCAAACCTTTGTCTAAGTAATAACTTTATCCGTCGCGTTGTAACACCGCATGAGTTTTCACTTTTACTCTAACTCGGGAAAACGACATTTTATTTAGGTGTTTCTTCTTCGTGTGATTGTGCGTTTAATGTTCATTTTCACCAATTCACATAAAGTGCGACAGAGAATTGAGGTCTATTGTTTTCCATATACAGTTGCCTTAGATTTATACTTCTTTTCTCATGATAATCTTTAATCTTTAATCTTTAATATTAGAAAGTCAAAATGAGAGTTTGGTGTCTCAAGGCTTCATCAAAAAATTTGGACTAAAAAGTCCCCCAAACAAAAACAAATCAAAACTGAATGAAAATAATGTAATCAAAATAGCAGGGGTACTTTTGTCAAAAAAAACATAAATTTATAATTCATTTTATTGGAAAAAAAAAATATTAAAAAAGAAAAGAAAAAAGAACGTGGTAAACCCTCAAATAGAGGACGATACATAAACTACCAAAGCTAGAGATAGAAGCAGTTTTCTCCAACGATTCCACGTTCTGCAGGGACGATTGGAAACCGCTATAGGTTTCCACAAATTTCTCTGAAGTCGTATCCCCTTTTAATCAGATTTCCTCGGTTTTCCAAAATCTCATCGTCTCTCAATATTATGTTTTCAACTTCTATAAACAAAAAGGTAAAACTATCGTCTCTGAATTGTATGCATGTCAGCCTTACAAATGACTTGCAATTATGATTTACAATTATCAATTACTCAAATTTCATTTTGTTTTTCATTAATTTTGAATGGGTGATAAGCTTCTTGCTCAAGCCTTCAATGTTGGTCCTCTTGCAGGATGCAAGCTCATCAGAAAGTACAAGGTAGTTCACATGATTCAGGTTCTTTGGAATCATTATATGTGATTTTTTCATTGTTCGCTTTTGAAGATTATGTTTTTTAAATTCTGAATATTTCGTGCATATAGATTCTCCAATGTTTCTTCTTATTTAACGATTGCTTTTTCAGGTATGTTGCCGATTGGCACGCTTTCTTTGTTTTAGATGGGAGTCGATTCAATTAGTACGCCATTTGTTTCGATCTTTTGTCTCTATGATTTGGCCTCACGAATTTACATTATTCTCCCAATAGGTAACACTAGAACTATTACTCCTTGCATACTATAGAACTAACCTGACATTTTTAAGTGTACAATATTATTTGTTTAGGGAGCATATTGTTGAGAAATCGTATTTATGAGGAATGTGTGTTCATTGAGTTTGTAGTTTTTAGAGAGCATACGTGTGGGATGAAGGAAGAAATTAGGAAAAGACTGACTAATTGTAAGGATGGTTGAAGGGCTTAAACTGATATTTTCTAGATGGTGGGAATAATCGTTCTAAGGTATGTATTTGAGTTTGATAATATGCAATTTACTCTTTGTCACCAATGCTTATTTGCTTTTTGCTAAATACTTCGTCAACAAACAAAGTATAACAGAAGATAATTTTACTAGAGATGCAAATTTACACAACTGCCAAATGTAAAGGAGAAAGAGTTTGGATTTTAGCAAAGGGATTATGATAAAAACCACATATGACGGATTGACTAAATGGATTCACCTATAAAATATTAGGGTATAAGATTAAAAATTAAATTGTCTTTTTATGCTATTCACTTTTGAATCGTCTAAAAAAGATTTCTCAATAATATATATTGTTTTCATCATTTCTCTCCCAATGAGCTGCTCATAGTTTTAAATCAAAATTGGTGGAATGGTACGTTGGTTTAATTCCATAATCCATTTGAAAATCTTTTTCTTCTTTTGCAGAGAGTTAGACATCAATCACGCCAAGAATTTGTGGAACTATACATGGGGTTTTGCTTGCAAATAGTTGAAAAACGATCACGCGCTAGCTTTTGGGAGTACAGACTACAGTGTAAATAAATAAACAAGTATCATGATTTCGGTGACTTATGCAGTGTGGCAGATGTGAATTCTATGACCAATTTGCGAAAACTTCCAACGTATGTTCATGAAAAAAAACGCACAATTTGCATTTCTTAATAATATACAAAGTACGACGCAAATGTTATTTCTAAAATTTCTAAGCAATTTTGTTACTTATTTTAATTAGGACCCTTATTTTATATTACTGTTTTCAATGATTATTTTGAACAACAATATACAAACCACAATATCTATCTTTAAAGGATTCTTATTTCACCTTCTTCACACAAAATTACCAAAATTTTAGATGTAAATATTGTGTGAATGAAACAAAAACAATTATTGCAGACACGAAAGCTAATCCAAAACTTAATTGCTAAAAAAAATGTAATGTTAATCTTGCACACAATTTTTCGCTAAAGTGATGGCCACACAAAAATAAAACAAAAAAAATGACACCATAATAAGCAACAAGCAAAAAAATGTGGAATGGTTAGTGTGCAATTCATAAATTTCATTTTTTATGTATAATGGGTGGGTGCAAAAAGACTAAGTTAGATGATTGAAAATAATAAATTATTGTGATGGACACACACCCACAATTTATAAAATAATCACTTAAGAAATATAAAAATATCTAAAATAACACATATTTGGGGCGCGTAGCGCCCGTGATGCAAAAATGTCTCTCGCACTCACATTAGTGCGTGCGGAGAGGCTAGTTTATAATAATATTGCTTAATCTACGCCCCAGAGATCGATGGCTGATAAATTCCCAAAAGTCTGGAATATTGATTTTGACATTGCTATATATCCTGATCACAGATTTTCAAATCAAAAAAATTCAATGATCAATCTTTCTGAAAGCTCTACATATATGTGTACGAATTGTCTTAATCATATAAGAAAACTTCCTTTTTATTAAAATTGACCCCTTTTGGCTTGATGTAATAACTTGAATAATATCAGCAAGAAGTCGGTATAGTGTAGTTCGACATGTGAAAAACTAGCTAGCAAGCAAACCACTTGTTAATTTGAGCATTCCAAAAATGAGTTTTATATGTATATACGATAGGCTCTCTGTGGACGTAAAATTGACAACGTCATGAAAATCTTATGGTGTTTGTAAAATTTGATGAGAGATGGAAACCAACATAGTTTCCTATGAGTCGCTGTCTTTCAACAGTTGACACATGCATGCCTGTTTTTGCATGGAAAGAACATCAAAACTGCAGTCCTTTTGCATGGAAAGAACATCAAAACTAAATTGGTCATGCGTGAAGAAATTTGATGGTGATAGGACATGCAAGGCTTTACATTCTTGATGAATATTTCACCTTAATATCATTGTGACTTCACAGTGTTCTCATAATTACCATAAATTTTGGATTTAATTGGTTTGTAATTTTCCTCTTCCAATAGTTCTTAGGTTATTATTTGATTTGTATGGTAAGAGGATCCGTCGAGATGATCTTTAGCCTTGTCGTCTTTGAAAAAAGGAAAAAATAGCTGATATATAAAGAGTAATATTCTCTTCTTAGATAAGTAGCATGCATGTTGTATGGTACCATACATACTATAAATAAGTACCACATATATAGACAGAAGTTTATGGTATGCTTACTTAGTATGGATATGTGAAGGAATTACAATGAGATGAAACCCCATCCTTATTATCTCATACCTTGATTTTTCAAATATGTCATCTCGAAATCAATGTGAGATTCACTTATTTATTTATTCTTTAGGTACCTAAGTAAACATATGAATGCAAGAAAAATTTCTTGCGATTGTATTGCTCTTTAGTAAACACATGAATCAGAATGTTGCACATAACTTATAATTTCATTCATTACAAGTTATAACTAATGTTCTAAAAATCTCCGTCTAGGGCTGCTTAGACGCTAGGAGGCTGGTCATCGCCCCGATTAATGCATAGGCGTTTGAAAATAAAGAAAGGGCGCCTAGACCTGCTGAGGCGCCCGCCTAGACCGCCTAGGCATCCGCCTAGCCTGCCCAAACCCGCCTAGACCTGCTGATACCTATTTAGGTTGTGACTAACTTAGATAGAAAATATATAACTTTCATTTTGCATTTTATTGTTTCCAATAAATTGTAAGAAACTTATTGAACACTTAAATAAACCCACATTATATATTTGCTCCCTATATTTTTATTATGTTCTAATACTTCATAATATATATGTCATTCTATTTTCAGTTTATGATGAAATTATATATATTTTAAGTATAAACGGACACTTATTTACACGAAATACAACAAATTTACTTAAATTCGCCTAATCTACCTAGGCGCCCGCCTAGACTCCGCCTCCAAAATTAAACCTTTGATAACTTGATCTAGTTGTTTTACAAAGAGAAAATTATTATGTATTCAACAAAATTTTATTTTATTTTATTGTGTCGATATATATACACGCACACGTCAACAGGACAGTGGTTAGATTTAAACAGCCTTAATTATTATGTGATACAGTAATACCATGTGGCATTGCTGAGTGGTAGTACATCTCCACCCATAATTCGTCATCTGTTCTACTAATACAAATCATCAACAAACTTAAAATTCTGCCGTTTAACAGCTAACACCACGTTAAAGGGTTTTCCTTTTGTTCGGGGTTAATTAATCTTTATGGCTACTCCGTCGCCGTCGCCGCCTCGAGATTTGACCACTTCCTTGCGGTCGCATGCCTTTGAGTAAAAATGAAATTGCAGATGTTTGATAGAAATTAAGAACTTTCTTTATTTTCGCCGTCGCAGATTATTATTATGCATAAAATTGATGATTTAGTTCTCAAAATTAAGAATTTTCTTAAAGAGGATTTGTTAGTAACCGAAGCAATTGAAGAGATAATCAAGAATTGAGGCGCATCGAACATAGATGGCTGTTCCAGAATGGGTTATGATTTTCACACACTTTTAACTACTTTTCCCACACCTTTCCTATTTTTAGTACTTAATTGGTATCCTACTATTTAATCGTTCATATATACCCCTCCCTATTTAATTTTTCATTAATTACCATAAAAAAGTAGGAAGGGTACATATGGAAGATTAAATAGTAGGATACCAATTAACTATTAAAAAATAAGAAGGGGTGTGAAAAAAGTAGTTAAGAGTGTATGAAAATCACAACCCTTCTAGAATTAACGGCAGAAGTTTATGTGTATTAATGTGTACATGGCAAAATTTGAGTGGAGATGTACTACCATTCAGCAATGCCAGCTGGTGGTACCGTATCATGGTATAATTTCTCTGTTTAATGGACCACAGCTTTACCATCTGTGGTTAACCGAAAGGTTTGAAGAATTTCATTTTCAGCAGCATGACAAAACAGAATTTTTGCAATGGGGAACGAGGAATATGGGGGAACATTTTGAATCTCTTGATATAGGGATCTTATCTAGTCTGCCACTTGTGCTCACTGTAGAAATAGTGTGCTGGGAATTGAACCCCACAAGTGCAACACTAAAACAATGTGTCAATTATATACAAGGAAAAATGCAGTCCAAAAAAAGAGAATAATATACATCAGCATCGTGAAACCCTAGCTAGGGTTTTCAGTTGGGTTTCCTCCAACGTAAGGTCACATCTTGAAGATGGTCCTAGCTTGTTAATTGTTCCTGGTGAGAGTCACTATCTTGTGGCAAGGGACATCTGGATCTGCTACTCCTTGGTGGATCCAAACCAGCTCCTTGCCTTTGCTTTTAGTCAAATAAAACTGCTATTAGAAATGCTCTACTTTTTTTTTGGACCTAACGATATTATCTACATTAAGAGGTGGGGGAGTGGCTAAGCCTCACTATGGACTTGTAATAAAATGGTTCAAATTTATCTTTGGGGCGAATTGAACCTATGACATCTTACTTACAAGTGAAGAGAAACACCACTAAACCGTAGTATTAAGAGGCAAAATTCTCTCATTAATTAGGAGGACAATATATAATTTTTTTCCAACTGAAGAAGGCCATAATTAAATCCTATTAGATAATAAGCTTTCTTTTGGGTAATATAGGCATATAACATTGCAAACTGGCTGTGTATATTGAATTAATATTAGTGGACCAAACCCTAATAAAAAAAACTGCATAACCTAATCAATAAAATAAAATTATGCAGAGAACCTAGATAATCGATTTCAACTAAAACATTATGTTACATGCTACTAACAGATTGATATCGATCCTATCTTTATAAAAACAAAACCAAATTCTCATCCTTGGTATCGACATGGTAATTGGCCGTAAATGGATAAGTGATTTTATTAGTCTTTTCGTTGATGATTTTCAATCAGGTCTAGCAGTACGAAAAAAACATGGTAATTAAACTTCCTTTTGTTTCCTTTACCCTAAAGGATCGAGAGTAGTATAGATGAGTGAGAGTGAAAGTGTATGAAGTGCGCTTAGGACTAGGACCAATGAGCTATAGTGGTTATCCATGGAGGGACCTATTTGCTGTCACTAATTAAAGTAGTTTTAATTTGCATCTTTTGTAGTTTTGGCGTGGGGGGCAACTGGGGCACCATAGTTCCTGCTCAGTCAATTAATTTGCTAATACCTCTCATAAAGGACATCATTTAAAGGAAAACTAAATAATTCCCCAAGCAATAGATTATAACATTTCAACACCGTCGTACAGATGCAAAAGAAGAGTGATAATATACTAGACCACATGGTCTCATAGTGTTTTTTTACTATGCTTAGACTGTAAGAAAAGAGAGCAATATGTAACCATTATTTATTAGTAGTTATTGGTGGTGTAATAACGATATTATAATAACGAGAAAAATGTGGCGTTTTACCACTTTTATTTCAATAATAATATTATTACTCAAGTAACAACTACTAATTGATAGTGGCTATTGCTTTCTTTGCTTTGCAAGATTAAAAATTTGGAGCACACACATACAGTACTCCTAAGAGGACATCTTTTTTTGGAACCAATACGCATTTTACATGCATGTAATTGTACATGTAACATGTATAATACGGTATGTTTTGCTGTGAACCATACAGTACTCCTAAGAGGACATCTTTTTTTGGAACCAATACGCACTTTACATGCATGTAATTGTACATGTAACATGTATAATACGGTATGTTTTGCTGTGAACTTATTAAACGAGTACACTTTTTCTAAACTATGTGTGTGTAAATATCGTAAGATTTGTTCGTTCATATATATCCCTAATTAATTAAACTCTAAAATAATGCGATGTGTCTAAATCTGCATGAACAACATTGTTATTAAGATCGGGGTCGATCAACACATGCCGTTCTTCAAGATCATCTATGGGATATTAAAATCTAGATTAGTAGAATATCTCATCAAAAGCATGAACAACCAAAATACACACACACACACACACACACAATGTTGTATTGATACCCCAACTAAGCAAATCCAAAATGTTATTCCAAAACGTTTGGATGCTTCTACTTTCATTGCAGCAATGAGATTTTCTTTTTGCTTGAAAGATCATAACACCCAAAGTTTGACCAAAACTGGCTCATGTTGTGGCACACAATTACTCATGTGGGTCTTATATAACAAACACCTACCAACACTACTAATATATTAAGTTTAAAGATAAGAAAATCAAGGTGGTTATATATTTATAAGCATGCTGATTAGTATGGGATTTTCTCTAAACCCAATATTGGTGGTTCTGATCTCACGTATCTCTGGGATGTGACAATATCTTGTATGTGGGGATTATGCGCAGTGCGTGTTAAACTTTATACTTACTATATTACCAAAAAGATAGACCTAAAGGTATATGTACCTTATTTAGGTTTTTTATTAAGAGATCCAAAGTTCAACTTTGAGATTATGATTTCATGGAAGCGACCCTTTAGCGCTCGTTTGTTATGTAGTATTGGATGAATTACTTACAAAGAAAATGTATCCCTTTCAATCCTCTCTAAATTTGTAAGATTAAAACTTTAGAATGAACGAGTTTTCTTCATGACCTAATAATTTTCTAATCCTGTCCAAATGAAAAGGCATTTTCTTCTACATTTAATACATATACCTTAAAATTAGAGAGTTATCTCTTCCAGTCCAATCCTATATACTGATCGAGTAGCATATGTATAGGTTGGGCACCTAGGCGGCTCTTCATCAACTGATGCAAATGCAATGTACTTAGCACACATATTCGTCCATTATATAAGAATGAAAGCGTTAAATAAACACTCTTTCTTGATTACATTTTGATTAGGGTAGGGTTTATTAGTAGTCTCTTTTCCGTGGATCACTCTTTTCTTATACTAGTCTTTGAAATGGAATAATGATAATAACAATTATACTACTACAAGAATTAATTTCATTAACGAAAACTCTAGAGCTACATGTGATGTATACGGCATAATGCCTAGAAGACTCAAAGTCATATTAATCAATGTTGTTGAATGAAGTTTTTGTTACTTCATATATGATGATTATCTTTTTTTTAAACATGTAAACAATATTGTAGAATTTGGGCACACATATTACTTTTAATTAAATTTGTGATTGGAGGATGAACTAAATTGTTATGATGAGGGGGATTTGAACTTGAGTGAACAGAAAAAAGCACACAATTTTAGCTAATTTGGCATGTAGAAAAAGTTCATTGGTTAAATAGTTAATAAAATGCTGCTAACTAAAATGTTAAAAGAAAAACAATTTAAATAACAAGAGATTCAACTTAATTTGGTGTGTCGAAAAAGTGTGTGGGTTAAAAAGTTAAAATGTTAAAGGAAAAAATTTAAGTAACAAGAGATTTGAGTAGGGCGATAGTATTAATGGGTTAAATAGTTAGTTAATAAAAGAATGAGAGTGAGTGGGGATCGAACCGTGCCTATTTTGCATACAAGAGATTCAATTGTAAAAAGCGCAAGGGACTTTGCAATTCAATTGGGCAAAGGCATTTGCTCTGAAAAATTAAAGGTTTAGAGTTCTAATTCCACCTCTTCCAATATGGCTTGTTTGTGAAAAATAAACACAAAAAAATATTGTAAAAAACAATAGTTTAAATGTAAATATGTAATCAAAATATCACAAGAGAGAACTCAAGTCCTCTCCTTCCTTCCTTCCTTTTGAGTTGTTTTTCGTTTTCTTATATTTTCATATAGTGCTTCAACCCAAAATACATACATACATACACACATACATGCATACATATATATATATACATATATACATACATATATATATATATACATACATATATATATACATATATATATATACATATATATATATATACATATATATTAGATTATACACGCAGCAGATCGTGCATAAAGAAATCACTTATATATACATCATCTTTTTCTCCATTAACACGTTTTGTTTGTTTATAGTTGTTAGTTTTCTTTTAATAATACTTCAATGATATAAAACAACAAAGGTGTGGAAGAGAATAAGAGTGTGAAAATCACTTTGCAATGCATATTGATACAAGCATTAACATGCATTAGAATTAAGGAGAGTTGGTAATTTGTTAAGGTATATCAAGAAATAAAGTATAAGGTTTTTTTATTTTTTTTTAATTTTGTTTTAAGTTTATGCTTTATCTTGCAAATTTAAAGTCTTTCATGAGAAATTATTTAGTACTACGGTCTAGCGATATTACTCTTCAATTGTAAGTGAGAGATCTTAGGTTTGATTCTCACAAAATGCAAATTCAAACCAAAATATTTGGCTACCCATTGTGAGGTCCATTCCCCCCACTTAGAGCAAAGTGCCATTTGCTAACCCATATGACATTTTTATGTTAAAAATTTATCACTCCCATCAACTCTTGAAATTTTATCTTTCACTGTAAATTATTGGTATCTTAAATTTATCTTGGCACCAAAAGTATAAGTGTTGTAGCCAAATTCTAAAATACATTACGGGGCTCAATTGCTAACTTGAAGAAGTAGCAACTGACTTTGTAAATATAAAAAATAAGCTACTAAATTTTTATTTTGCTAATTGAGTTGCTACCTCTGTTGAGAATGCATTTTTCCTAGAGGTGACATAGGAAATTTAAGTTTGCTGTTGAAATGCTCTCCCTTGGAGATGCTCTGAGTGTAGACAAAATGTTGTAAAAAAAAAAGTCTTCTATGAGAAGAATTGGCTACAATACAACAGATACTTAGTGTAATCATCAATTAATGATCACGTGTTATAATAACAGTTAACGATCATATCTGATAATCTTTAATAAATAATTGTATTAAGTATTTTAATGAATACTCTAACCATTTCCTGGGCTCTAAATTGTACTAAATATTTCCATGTAATGACATCTAACATGCTACATCACTCCATAAAATAAATTGAGTTCTAAATTCCATTTGAGTTCTAACTTAATAATGTTGTCGAAAAATAGTTTAGGGAATGAGTCAAAAGGCAGTCTTTGTCATGACCACTTTTTAACCTTACGGGACTCACGATAAATGGTCACCACCTCCATTACCCGTTTACTGCAATGGTCTATATCCCAATCATGAGCGTTTACTTCCGTCAACGCTAGAAAACGGAACACCGTTTTGTTCCCTAACCACCGCATCAGCAGACGTGGCCAATATTATACCGTCGATCCTTGTACATTTCAGATCCGTTGCACACCTGCACGCGTCCCCACTTTTGGATTACACAATTATTACGCAGATACGGGCATGGTAAAAGAAAAGATTCATACATCAGACACTTAAGAAGCATGAGACAATAAATGCAATAAGTTAAAGTTAAATTCTAAGTAGACATGTGACATAAATTTTTATTATTTAAGATCATATTTTTCTTATTCTAAAATATTATCATTTAATATTACGGTTTAATGACATTATTTTTTCTTTGATAAAAAAAAATTGTGATATTTTTCACTTGTAAGTGAGAAATCTTAGGGTTTAGGGTTTAGGCCAAAAGTGAATGTGAACCATATTATTGCTAGCCTATTATGAGGCTTAACCCACTTCTTCACCCTCTTAATGTAAATAATTTCATTTGTTAAAAAATATAAAAATGAAAAATAAATCTAATTTGGGATTACTTTGCTTTTTTCAAAAACTACTTTTACCATGCTCTAGCTGTAAAATAAAATAGTTGAGCGTTTTATAAACTTTATTTTAAAAAAATGTTGAGTAGAAAAAACAGTGTAAAAGTGTTTGATAATTTTCAATGTAAAAATGGTATAGATATATATAATGACAAAACTAGACATAGTAGTACGGGTTGGGTGGTGGCAACAACACCAGTGTCGAGAGTAATGGTAGTAATGGCATTAACAATGGTGGGATTGCGGTGGTGTTGCTAATAGGGTGTGGTGGTTGGGGTGTAAAGGTAGTAGTTGTGGCAGCGATAGTAGTGGTGATTGCACGTTGTTGGTGCATTGTGGCAATGATGGTGGTGATGATGGCTGCAATGGTGTTATGTTCCTAGTTGGAGTTGTATGTGGTGGTGACAACAACAGTGGCCATGGCAATGAAAGTAGCAATGACGGTGGCATGTGGGGTTGGCGATGGTGATGGTGGCAGCAACAATTATAAGGGTATGGTAATAATGCCAATAGTGGAGTGTGGTAGTTAGGGTGCAGAGGTTACAATAGTGGAAGAGGCGGTGGCAGCAGCGTGGTGGTTATGGTGATAGTGATGGCGGTTGCAGTGGTGGTGGTGGTGGCAATGATGGTAACAATTATGACAACAATAACAACAATGATGGTAATGGTAATGGTAGTTGTAGTTGTGGTGCTCGTGGTGGCGATTATGGTTGTGGTTGTGACAGCAACGGTGGTGGTGGTGGTGTCGTTGGTAGTGGCAACGAATGTGGTGGTAGTGGCGGTGGTGATGTAAGGTTAGTGGCTATAGTGGTAGGTGGTCACTTTGTTCCCCAAGAGTAAAATGTATGTACAATAATAAATAACGTCATTTTTAGAAATTAACGAGGGTATTGCATGAATTAAAAATATTCATTAAAGGCTTAACTCTGCTTTTTATAAAAGTAGCTTTTAAAAGCAACCTACATACCGCTTTTAAGGGCTGCTGTCTCTAGGCCATTGCTTTTTAAAATAAGCAAGATATTTCATTTTTACCTATACTTTTTTATTGCTTAACTTTAAAGTAAAATAATTTTTACTTTTTAATTGCTTAACTTTAAAGTAAAACAATTTTTGGTGAAAAAAAAAAAAAAATATATATATATATATATATATATATATATATATATATATATATATATACCAAATGGAGCCTAAGTTTGGCCTCAAGGCAGGCAACATGTAGCCTCAAGGCATACTAACCTATTAGTGAGTCCTGGTGCTCTTGGTCTATATCTCACAGTGAGATTTTTTATTCCTTCCACTATAGTGCCATTAAAGTTGAAGGCTGGTACTGGTGGTGATGTTAGTCTATTTATCCTATTGTGGAATCCATTGAACAGTGATCGTCCATGGTGCATCATTATGTTTTTGAAATGTGCTATTCTGCTTTGTGGTATTTTGCTATTCAAGAATGATGGTACGTGATATTCTATTCATGTTCAATGAATAAGCCTTGATAAGATATCAACTAATGTACTATCACTGTGAAATCTCATATCTGGATTTCACTATCCAATCTTTCGTATTTAGTGCTTTCGAGAATTTACTATTTATTTTTGGTTAATTTTGGAGTTTTGGTTACTTAGTTGCAAATAACACATAAGCAAAAACCATTCGCAAAATGGTATTGTAACGAAGGGGAAAAAAGCGATCAAAGGCAAGGGGTATTTTGTTTTTTGCCCTTGGGAGTCCAAGAAAGTGGGAAGGGGACCAATCCTACGATGACGCGGGTTGACCGAACTTTTCCCCTCGACTCGCAATGGCGATCTGGTTTCTGGTGCTTTTTTCGGCGTTCCTCTATCGTTTTCATCTCGGCCAACGCCTGGAATTGCTTCCTCTCCTTCCCACGACCATTTTCCTCATGGCGGGTCTCACAAGTTAACAACTTATGAAATATGTTGAAGTAAATATTTGTTCCTCAATGGTTTTGTTTAGTAGGAAGGGAAAAAAAAAAAAAAAAAAAAAACAAGAGCAAAGCATGACACAACACAATACATCGAATTAAAAATTGAAATGAGTGATGTTAGCCACCATTAGATTTACACTCTTTCAAATTAATACATTAAGTAAACTTTCGGTATTTGATTGGTTGTTTAGTTAACAACAACTGAAACGAGCAAAGACATAATACACATAAAGTCATAATTGATGGACGAAAATATTTAAGCTATATATTTGAATTTTGTCATACGACCCAAATATAACATAATGCGAACATACTCAAACACTATACGAATCTAAAGTTTGGTAATTACCAATTAGGAGATGGTGGTGGGGGAAATGATCACAGATTTTGAATTTTGTCACTACAAAAATAAGACAGTGGTTGATTTTCGTCCAATCACTTTCCCTTCCCCATTTGTGTATTCAGTGGCATCTTGCCCTGTATGATTCAATTCCGTGCAACATTCACCTTTCTAACTTGCGCTTCTGTAATCGGTGCACTTTAGTGGGAATTGATATTGTTGGTTGGAATACGAGTATAAAGTGATAGGGTATTTGGGAACAATATCTAAAAGTTGACGGGGAATACGTAGAGTTCTGTCGGTGGTTTTGCGTCCTTTTTCACATCATACAAAATTGGTAACTTTAATTAAAAGTTCTCGATTTTGTTCATTTTAACGAAAACCATATTTTACATTAAAAAGTCAATCCTGGTACTATTCATTTCCCTTTATTTTGTTCTTATTGTTAAAACTCAAAATTTTCAAGCCTTTTTCATTAGTTTTCTCTAAAAAATTCCATTACCAAAAAATATTTTTGTTCATGCGGGTTTGTGTAAATGTATTTAATATAATTACCATTTCAATGATCAGAAGATGATTGTGTTAATATAAATATTCACATGAATTATATATAACCGTTAGATGATAATTGTAGTAAATACAAACGAATATTGTAGATAATATTTACGTGTAAATTAATTTATTGAAAGTCGTTATGATAAATGACAATCTAATTTTCAGTGTTCTTTTCTCGGATGCTACTTAGCATAGACGATGCGGTGAACATATCCTGTAAGGTATAGTATGAGCACTAGATACACATGTTTATGTATAAGAAGCTTTTTGAGTTTGGCAATTATATTGTAACGTGATATTATATCCACATACTACATGTCATAGACCATATGCCTCGTTTGGTATAAAAGATTGGATTGTAATGGATACGAAACTATTTTGAAGGTATGTTTAACAAAACTTTATGACCAACTTGGACATAGAAGATAAATTACTCAAAAAGAAAACTCATCATGTCCCCAAAACGATAGAATTAAAAAGGAGAAATTCTTCATATCTAATCACCTCAAAATGAAAAATTGAACTCTACCATTATTATGTCTTGAATTCTGAAGGTTCTAATCCAATCATATGTACCAAACGAAACCATAAAGTTTAAGGAAAACTAATGAAAAATGTCTGAAAACTTTGAGTTTTAACGATAAGGATAAAATAAAAGGTAAAGTGAATAGTACCAAGATTGACTTTTTAGTGTAAAAATGTGATTTTTCGTTAAAATGAACAGTACCAAGAGTTTTTTTGTTAAAGCTCCCTAAAGTTTAATATTAGTAGTAGTTATCCTCTAGACCAAACCAAGTCATAAAGTTGGGTAAAAGTTTAATATCATTAGTAGTTATAACATAAACAAATGCATCTGTTTAATTACCAGAATAGGTATTATGATTTTTACCAAAAAAAAAAAAAAGAATAGGCATTATGATAGTCCATTAAAAGAAACCTTTTTTTTTTTTATATTTTTAATTAAACAACAAATACACAAAACTACTTTCATCATTGTAAACTGCAGTATGAAGAAAAAGGTGCAAAGAGTTTTTAATAAAATGGAAAAGAATAATGCAGCTACAGAAAGGCTTAAAAGAAGCTTCCTTTCTGCCTCAACAAAAACCAGCTTAACCAGACAGATTCTGCCAACTCCCTCCCTCCCTCCCTTCTCTCTCTCTCTCTCTCTCTCTCTCTCTCTCTCTAGAACTCCTTTGAATTCATTCAGTTCTCTCACAAAGTCTGAAATTTTGAGGTCCACAATTGGTTGAAAAAAACTTGATGTCTAGGCCACTGGAGCTTGATTACATAGGCCTAACAGAGACTTCATCTTCTCCAATGGAAAGAAGCTCTGAGAAGATTTCATCTTCCACTTCCTCTACCTTCTCTTCCACAACAGCTGAGGAAAAGAGGACCTCCTCCTCTGCTATCAACCTCAGGGAGACTGAGCTCAGGCTCGGCCTTCCTGGTTCCCACTTCCCTGACAGAAAAAAACTGTCAGGGGTCTCAATTTTTGGGAAAGATTTGGAGGACAACAACAAGCCAAATGGGTGTTCTCCAAATCCTCCAAAGAACCCTGTGTCAGGGGCAAAAAGGGGATTCTCCGACGCCATTGATGGGTGTGAGAAATGGGTTTTCTCCATGGGTAATGGATCTGAGGTTGATGTGGGTAAAGCAGCAGTGTTGGGTTCTCCATTAGCCAAGAAAGAGGTTTCTTCTGTTCCTCTGCCACCAAAGCCATCAGCTCAGTTGGAGAAGAAGAAGCCTCAGGCCTCTGAGCATGCTGCTGCTCCTCCTGCTGCCAAGTAAGCATTTTTTTAATTTTTTTTATTTTACCTTTTTTCTCATTAATTGTTTCTGTTTTATTGGTTAATTTTGATTTCTGAGAAATTTGATTCAACAATTATAAGAAGAAACAGAAAAATTAATGCATGTTTAATAGCTATTTCGTTTTTAATTTTTTGTTTTCATTTTTTTGCGCTTGAGATACGAGGAAACAATGAATAATTAAGGGCGATGGAGGGAGGGGAAGAAATAAAGAAGAATTTGTCTTCCAACTATATGAACTCATTTGGTCATTCCCTTGAATTTTTTTTTTGTGAGGATTCTAGGATCAATTCATCTTAACCGTTTAGCCGTTGATCGTACATTATTTTTTTTAAGTACTGTTTTTGTTCAATTTTAAATAAAAAATTCAAAATGATTTATGACCGCATGAACACTTATAAACGGATAGAATGAACAGATCCTAGGATCCTCACAAGGAGAGGATCCGGATAGGATCCTATTCCGAATTGTTATACCATGCTATAATTTGATTCCTAATCTTTCATTTGAAAAATTTGTCTTCAAATATATGGAAATTGTCTCCGTTAATTTCTAGAAAATGTTAATTTATCTGCTAATCTTCTTCCTCTGCAATAACTTGTAAGCTTAGCAGTGAATTCTTACATTTGTGGTATTTTTGCAACAGGGCACAGGTGGTGGGATGGCCCCCAATTCGATCGTTTCGGAAGAACTCCATGGCCTCTAATTTGGCAAAGAACAACGACGATGCTGAGGGCAAACAAGGGTCCGGGTGCCTGTATGTGAAGGTTGGCATGGATGGTGCTCCGTACCTACGAAAGGTTGACCTTAAAACGTACAACAACTACACTGAACTTTCCATGGCTCTGGAGAAGATGTTTAGCTGCTTCACCATTGGTACTCCTCTCTCTCTCTCTCTCTCTCTCTCTCTCTCTCTCTCTCTCTCCCTCATGTGCAGACTGAGTTATACCACAACTTAGTTTGGTGTACAACGCCTGTCCGGTAGGGTTTAGGGTTTGATCCAGAGAATAACTTAAGGTTGGTGTTGTAATGGGCTGGTACCAGAACGAAACTAGCAGCCGGAGTAGTGAGACTGCATTAGGGTGTGTGTTTTATAGGGTGTTTAAAGCAATTCTTCTAAACCTTGCGATTATCTGTGATTCAGGGCAGAGCAGTTGTAATGGACTTCCGGAGCGAGATGGTCTGAGCGCGAGTCGTCTGATGGATCTTCTCAACGGTTCTGAATTTGTTCTGACTTATGAGGACAGGGATGATGACTGGATGCTTGTTGGTGATGTTCCTTGGCAGTAAGTTAACTGTTCTGTTCTGTACGAACACTGTGTTATGGCTATTTAAACTTAATCGCAGCATGATTAGTGATTAGAAATTGAAATTATCTATAGCTGATTGAATTGCAATTACCTTCGATTCGATATGCAACGTGGTTTTACCTTCCAATTGATCGGATCTCAATTCTGACAGTCAGTCTTATGTTCTCATCTGATCATAAAGTGTGTGTACATGACAGGATGTTCACCGAGACCTGTAGGAGGCTGAGGATCATGAAGGGTTCCGAAGCAATCGGTCTAGGTATGTTCTAACTTCTACGTTATGTCTATAACGAATTTGATGGTATTTTTCTCTTCTGTCGATGTTCTAATCCCGGGATTGTTACAAGTCAGATTGTAAAGTAATTAACCCGATCACTGTTCTTGTTTGCAGCTCCAAGGGCTGTGGAGAAATGCAAGAACCGGAACTAACACGAACCGTACCAGCCGGGAAAAGCATTCTCCAGGCATTGAAACGGACTCGAGTCGGGTGCTTGTTGCAGAGTCCTAAATATGTTTGATAGTATCCTAGTTTTCGTGTCTTCTAAGTTAGAAAGTTTTCGCTGGAGACATCGAGATTATGTGTTTGATGCTGCTGTTTTTGCCTCTTATGTGTACCACATATTCTAATTACTGTGTAAAATGTCTTTGCTGCTTGCAAATCTCTCCTTCCTTCTCTTAAATGCAGCTGTATGTATAAGTTCCTCCAATGAATTTTGAAACTGAGTTTCCTGTAACGAAAGTCAAGAACTGATCTGGGTTTGTTTGGAAACGATAAGACGGAAGTTCAATATCAGCTCCCTATAGTTTAGATTAGATTAGAATATCGCTCGGATAAAAATAAATAACAAACTCAAAAAAAAGTTCATTGAAATTTGAAGTAAGGATTAAGGAAAACGCTATTGAAACAGAGAACTTTGAATTAATTGAATTTATAAGTATTACAACAGACAAGTTAACTGAATCAGTTAAACCAAGAAACTGGACAGCTGAAAACGGCCGAGTTGGTTCAGCTATGGCATGATACTAGTACAGAACAATCGTCGCTCATATAAAACTTCAAAGGAAATACACGAGCCGGAAAGCTATGAGAAAACTGCATGCATGTTGCATAATATGAACAAACTACTGGAAGCTAAACAATGTATCTGAATCTGGACAGCTAAAAAATTACTGGTTTGATATCTGAACGTAAACCATCTGGGTATATCCATTAAATACAGAAGGGTCGAGTCTGGTTAAGCCAAGCCGATTGAATAAGCCATACCGGCCATCTTCAACAATAGGAGTTACGGCACGAGCAGGATCATATCTAGTTTGATGAGTGAGGGATGGACCTGCCACTGGTGGCACCTCCCAGTAAACATCAAGAATCGATTCCACAAACCGACTATTCTGAAAATGTTCTGAATAGGAAATCTTCTTACTACTTTTAGTAAAGTTATCATGCATGTATCCTCTAACACCCCACCATGCTTCACCAGGCCCACAAAGTTCTTCAATATTCACCGCTTTCTCCCAGAACTTCTTCCTTTTTGACCTAATCCTAGCTTCATCGCTGTCTTTAAAGCAGCTGTGACCACCTCCTAAAGCACCCCAAAAGAAACTACAAGAATTACTTGTTGAAGCAATAAACCATGACAACAGATCATAAATGAATCTATGAGTTAAAGATTTGGCCACACACCGAGTCTTTCAGCAATTACTTACTTACTCCATGGTTTTACTACAATGATTTTTTATTTGACAAAACTATCCACCAGTAATTCAATCCATACTACATTAACTAAAGCTACTTTGGGCATCAGTAAGAAAAAAAGAGAGCAAAGGTAAGAATGCATGTCATCAACGTAAAGCATATGGCAAACAAATAGACTTGAAAAATGAAGGATAACAGGAGAGAGCATGCACCTCTGATATAGGATTGATCACATATCTGCCGTAAGGAATAATGATCTCCAGTTCCAGTATCATAATTATCCTCGAAAATTATGTGCTGAAAACCAGCTTTCAGAGCCTGCGTTACTCTGCTTACCAGAGCATAAAATACGATAAGTCAGCATTCAGCAAGTGATAATTCCTGTGGCCGTGCATAATAGGAGGAAGGAGCAAGATTATATTGAGATATTGCTAAGTACCTTTTCAGTTCATTCTGATGATCATCAAAAAAAATAAGAACACGGCTGAGATCAGTAATCCCATGTTTCTTCATCACTTTTCCCCAATCAACATTTCCAAAATCCAAAAAATCCTTTCCGGTGAAGTAAGTGCAGTTTCCATCAACATATGCAGGGCCCTTCTTTAGAAACTTCCCAGGATGCTTGGGTGTGAGGGTAATAATTGGAGTGTCTGGCATCGCTTGTCGCAAAACCCAAGTGGAATGACCCTTGAAAGCGCCACTCTCAATCATTAGATCCGGCTTCAGCCACTGGGCAATGAACCAGAGCCCAAAGCTGTGGTCAAAACCCATCCCGTACATGTTGTTTTTTATCGGTCGGGTTTCATATACAGGTATAAATACTTCCAAGCCCTTGATTAAATCCTTTGTTGTCCACTCAACTGTTTTTCCGTGTTTCGATCTGCCTTTTGCCAAGGATAGCATTATAAGAATCAAACAAGGGCAAGAACCCAGGGATCTCACAGCCACAACAAGGAATTTAAACCAAATAAAAGAACTCAAAAATCCCAACATTGACTTCGTAAAGAATCAATCACGGTCCACACGCTACCGAATTCCAAACATTGAGCAATTGGGACTAACATAGGCATTGGCCACCAAATTTAATGCATAAAACTCGAAATTTAATCAGATTTCTGTTCTGTAGTCTAGCAAAAAAACCATAACATCAATTTGATCATGAACAAATGCTACACATGACTAAAACATATAGAAATGGTCGTAGTATCCACGTATCTGATACCGGCAAGAATCGAAAGGCGAAATATATACATTGCAATTCCTTTGAATCATAAACTTATTGAAACTACTATGAATTTACTGTGCACTAAGTAAACTTAAGTAAACTTAAATAAACTAAGAGGGGTGTATTCAATTGGGATTTTAAGAGATTTTAATTCTTTTAATGAATCTAGGGGTATTCAATCAGGATTTTAAGTGATTCTCTGAAATTCTAGGTGTATTCAATTAGAATTTTAAAATAGTTTATTAAAATCCTTAGAAATCCAGGTGTATTCAATTAAGATTTTAAAGAAGTTTATAACATTCCAGGTGTATTCAATTAGAAATTGATTTTAAAGAATTTGAGAAAGTTGAGGAATTAGAGGGAATTTGAGAGATTTCGTAGTGTATTTTAAGTATCCACAAATCTCACCTCTTCCCATGAGATTTCGAGGGAATTGAATCAAAATTTTATATGGAATCTCTACAAATCAATTAAACTCCATAAAAATCCATGGATTTATAAATTCATTAAAATCTCTCACATTCTCAATTGAATACACCCCCCTAAATTTTCCAACTTTTTCTTATAAACCCAAAAGGTCAAAGATTTGAAATTCATTCCAAGCTCCCTAATTTACTCAGCTATAAGAAATTCTACAATTTTCATTTAGAGGGGTGTATTCAATTGGGATTTTAAGAGATTTTAATTCTTTTAATGAATCTAGGGGTATTCAATCAGGATTTTAAGTGATTCTCTGAAATTCTAGGTGTATTCAATTAGAATTTTAAAATAGTTTATTAAAATCCTTAGAAATCCAGGTGTATTCAATTAAGATTTTAAAGAAGTTTATAACATTCCAGGTGTATTCAATTAGAAATTGATTTTAAAGAATTTGAGAAAGTTGAGGAATTAGAGGGAATTTGAGAGATTTCGTAGTGTATTTTAAGTATCCACAAATCTCACCTCTTCCCATGAGATTTCGAGGGAATTGAATCAAAATTTTATATGGAATCTCTACAAATCAATTAAACTCCATAAAAATCCATGGATTTATAAATTCATTAAAATCTCTCACATTCTCAATTGAATACACCCCCCTTAATTTTAATTGAACAGAGCAAAAATTATATCAAAAACCCTCGATCTGATATTTAAATCAAACAGCTAAATTAACTCAGATCCTTCAATTCATCACAAAGAATGGGAGTTTTAGAGAAAGGAGATCCGACCCGGATATACTTACACCAAGGCACGCCGAGTGATCCGAAATCCGATTCGAGGCCATCGAACCCGAAGAAGCCGGTGCGAGAAACCGGGTCGTAAGGCGAGACGCAGACGAATCTCCGGGAGTTGAAGATGAGGGAGAAGATGAGAAGGAGGACAAGGGCGAGGATGAGGAGGCAGGGCCAGACGGGTCCGGTTCGGGTCAAGTAGTTGGTGATTCGGGTGGTGAAGAAGGAGAAGGGGAGGTGCTTCTTGATCTTGGACTCGTCGGCGACGACGTCGTTTTCCACGGCGGATTCGTCTGCGTACGGCGCGTATCGGCGCGAGGACAGGACGCGATCGAGCATTTTGGTGGGGGATCTTTGGGTGGAGCTCGACGGAGAGAGTAGCATTGCTGTGGAGCGTTGAGCTGAGATTTTCCAGGCCTTCAGGAAGAGCAAGCGAGGTGGGACCTATTTTTCTTGATTGTGATTAACATAGTGTGGCAAGGGTATATTGGGAAGAAAGACGGATTAATGGATTTGGTTTCTTGGAAAGAAATTGGGAAATATTTCAAAATAAGACAATTTCTTAATTTTGGAACAAAAATAGGATAAATCGGTCACGTACAAATCATGCATATCATGCATAAAATCAAAATTATTAAAATACCCACATATAAATGGATTATGTCCTCCTATTTTTTATTTCTCCATCTACTATCTCTATCCCTTCCTCTCTCTTTGCTCACTTTCTCCCTCTAGCACTCTCTCTCCCCTTCTCACTGTGCACACATGATTAGGGGTGGTTCGATATGGGATCCTATACCGAAACTCTTGTCCCGATTCCCAAACCAAATTTTTTGGGAATCCCAATTTGAATACCGATCCCAAACCAAATTTTCGGGAATTCCAATTTTCGGGAATCCCGAAATAGTTTCGGGATTTCGGGACAAATAGGGAATTTCGAAATGGTTTTGGGCTTTTTGACTAAAATTTGACATATTATGCTTATGTAACTCATTGAATGAATTGTTAGATTGTGCAAACATATCAAGCAAGTCTCATTCACATCATATCGGGGCACAAGCATTGGATTGCAAACTGTAAACTTTGCTTGAAGGCTCTTAACCTGACTGACAAGCATTGCTACCTTGTGCTGCTTTGCTGTCCATTTCCAGTAATTTGCATATGTAAAAAAAAAAATACATATTTACAATGCCAACAAGCTCCATTTATTGGTGTAAACAGTAAAGAGACTCAAGCATAGTAACTAGCTGATGCAACATTCTTGGTTTCGACATAAATAAAACAACATTGCTTACGTCATAACATAATTCATAACATATTCCATTCTCTGTAACAAGTTCAAACCATAAAGTCCATAATCAATTATAAAAGAATAATATATATGTATAAATATATATATATATATATATAATAATTAATAATATTTATTTTCGGTTCGGTATGGGATTCCCGAAATATTGAGAAGCCAATCCCGAATCCTGTACCAAAATTTCGGGATCGGTTCGGGATAGTATCCCAAAAATTTCGGGAATTTCGGTTTGGGAAATTTTTGGTTTGGGATCGGGATTTTTAGGAATTTTTTCCACCCCTACACATGATGCACTATCATCTCGACCAACATTGTCCAAATCAAAGCCACCACCAATTTCATCTCCTTCTCACGATTCCAAAACACCTAGCCTTATCACGAATCTCATCCCCGATCATTGAGGTCGAAACTCAAGCAATCGCGATTTTTTCGGCCATTTTTCGGCAACACGGCAAATAATCGAGGCTCGAGACCACCACCATTAGACTTGCATCGATAGTGGGAACAAAGCCCAATCATTAAATGTTGGTGTTTTGTTGGATGAATTTTCAGGATTTGCTCACTGTATGTATACGAAATGCACATGATATGCTCACAAATCTGAGTCAACCCAAAAATTTGGAAGTTAAATTAGGGTTTGTGTTTTATGTTGGGGCCTATATGTGTGGAATAAATTTCAAGTTTTGATGTGCTGCAAAACTGGGATGGAATAATTTCTGGTTCAAGTGTCCAATTGCAGAAATTTGTGAAATTGTTTCCCTAATGTGCATGTGGTGTGCATATAGTGTGCATGGTTACATCTTAATATGAGAAGCGGGAATGTTCACTAGTTATGATGCATGTATGTTGTGCCCCGGAATTTAGCAAGTATGAGCCTCAACGAAAAAAAAAAGAATTAAGAAAAAACTTAAAGGACATTAAGGATCATGCGTATCCATGAAATAACGACAACGAGTATCATGTTTTCCACGTGCACGGTTAAACGGTGATTGATATACGTAACAAGACTTTTCAAATCGCCACTGTAACCTTATATACGTAACAATTACATTTTAATTGTATCTACTATACTAATAGGTTGACGTTAGAGTTTCTTATTAATGCGAAAAATAGCTCATTGCTCGATCTCCAGTTTTGTGCATATCATGTGCATGTACTATACATATGATGTACATGTGGTGTGCATATAGTGTATATGGTGGTGACGTCATAGGTGATGACGCCTTTTTTCTAGTTTCGAAGAAAGAGCTGTGAGCTCTGGTTTTTGGGTTGGCTCAGATCTCTGAGCATATCATGTAGGGGTGGGTTTGGTTCTGTTCGGTTCGATTTTTGGCCGAAACCTAAAACCAAACCAAAGTTACTGTTTAGTTCGGGTTGGTTCTGTTTTTCTTCGGTTTTTTTTGTTTCGATTTTTTTTTCGGTTCAATTTCAGTCCGGTTCGGTTTTTTCCATGAAAATTGTTTTTATTTATTTATTTTATTTCATTTTAAATCTGGATATTGGTAAACTAGCCCAAAATAGGACCTGCCAAACTAGCCCAAAAGACCCAACAAACAGTCAAGGCCTAAGCCATAAAATACAACAAAAGAAAACCTAGGCTTCCACTGTAGCACTCGCCGCTGAGCATCCCTATTAGCACAAACCCTCTCCACCAACCAATCAACACCTCGCCGATTGTTACATCCAGCCACGAGCACTTGTCCGAACACAGCCAAACATTTGAGAACCAAGGGTTTAATAAAGAGTAAAGATCCAAAAACCAAAGATCTTTACCACATAGGGCTCCACAAAGACAAATCCAAGAACAACATCAACCAATTTTCATTCAAAAATTCACTAACCAACAAACCAACAATCTAAACAAACATCAGCAAAATTTTTTAGATGATTAAAAACACAAAAAGAAAGATTGATTAAACAATTATATGAAAATCCAAACAGGAGCTTTCTCGATTGATCTACACAATTCACCTGTTGAAGTTAAACCACATCCGAGTAGCTTCTCTGTGGTTTACAAGAGTGCTAATGTAATAGATAAAATAAATTTACAAATTTGCAAAGGGTAATAATTTCGAACCCAATCATTCAATCACAAATTAAACAAATTTACAAGATTGGGAACAAAATCGATGAAATTGGTACAGCGAGAACACCGTTTTCGAACCTGAACTTCTTGAATCAGGCATTGCGGCAGTGACCCACCTGAAAATGATGAACGTATTGCTGCAAATCCTTGTATAAATTGCTTGCAATTGCAGACATTAGAGCATTCAAAGAATAAATCATGGAGGTGTAAGAATTCGACGGTGGGAGAGATATAGACTGAGAAGTCAAAACAAAGAGGAGATGAAATGGGAGTAAATGGGACGGCTAGGGTTTTGTGTTTAGAAATCTTATAAAGAATTAAAGATCCATAATCAGTATAAATATTTTACTTATATGATTATAGCAACACAAAGCTTGTTGTCAAGTTGGCTGAAGCAAACATTCTCAACTAGGAGGTAAGGGGTTCGAAACATCTGGCCTCTAGATTTTGAGTATTTTTATATGATTTATATAATTAATATATATTAAATAATTAAATATAAACCGGTTTAGTTCTGTCCTTTCCGGTTTCTGGACCACCAAAATTGAAACCAAACCAACCTATTTTGATTTAGTTCACTTAGTTCGGTTTGGTTTTTTTTTTCGGTTCGATCTTTTTCGGCTTTGGTTCGATGTTCGGCTCGGTTTTTTTCGGTTTTTGGTTTTTTGAACCCACCCCTAATATCATGTGCATGTCGTGTACATGCAATGAACATATCCTAAAAATTCATCCAACAAAACACATTTTTTTGCCAATTTTGAGTAAACACCATCACAACATTCAAACAAGGTAGGGAATCCCATCACAACTTCATACAACTTTTGGGTTTATTCTCTCATTCCCTAAATATGAAAAAAATCACTTCTTTAATCCCACTAAATTGCAAATATTGGAAGGAAGAGAGCAAAAAACAAATGGGTTTTGTGCACAGCAGTTAATGACTGAGCTTTATTTCCATTGTCGATGCGAGTCTAGTGGTGGTGGTCGCAAGCCTAGATTGTTTGTTGTGTTGCCGGAAAATGGTCGAAAAATTTGTGGTTGCTTGAATTTCGATCCCAACAACCGGGGATGAGATTCGTGACAAGGCTAGGTGTTTTGGACTCATGAGGACGAGATGAAATTAGTGGTGGCTTCGATTTGGATGGTGTTAGTCGAGATGACTATGTACCGTGCGTGCACAGTGAGAAGGGGAGAGAGAGTGTGTGAGGGAGAAAGTGAGAGAAGATAGAGAAGGAGAGTAGAGAGAGAGGGAAATCAGGAAATGGGAGAAAATAACCCATTTATATACGAGGGCAATTAAGTCATTTCAAGGTGTAGGAAAATCCTATTTCTGTCCAATTGTTGTGCATGGCTTGTGCATATTTTAAATATCCTATTTTTGTCCCAAGATTAAGAAATTGTCCTATTTCTGGGTATTTCCTAAACAATTTTGGAGGAGAAAACCAATTAGTAATTGGATTCTCAAGGATTTTAATAGTGGTTTGAGTGTATGTGATACTTATATATGAATTACGCAACTTGATACCTATAATACTACTTTTATACTCAACCTGAATTAAAAATGAGAATCTACATCAAATTGGGAAATAACTCTCTTCACGCCTATGCAACTTGGAATTTCTACACTTATTGCCCTTTTTTCTGAGTGCAGCCCAACAAGTGTGGGGCATTGGTGGAGCCATAAATAATCCCCAATCCTAGAGACGACACGTGAACTTTTTCCTAAAAAAGACCATATTGACCTCATTAAATGGGTAAGGCACACAAATATTCCATGCCCAGCTCAACATCCTTGGAAGTCCAAGCTCTGCTCTGTGGCATGGAAAAGTCAATGGCATTAAAGATAAGATTAATCACCAAATTTCATATTTAATACATTCAAATTGAAGGTCAACTCAATCAAGTAAGGAATCCTATCACAAGCAATCAATGATGCTTCCATCATCATCCTAAGATATTATCTCCTAATTAATATTTTAGGGATATTGTTTCCTCATTCATCCTATGGATGACGTAAACTTGGACAATGGTAAGTCACCTCGTGTAGGGCAAAACCCAACACCTCTAGCCACCTCTCTATAAATACCTCATCTCCACCAAACTTTGATAA